TTTCATGGTTTGTGTGCTTTGCATTGGCTGGGTCAAGAAGAAAACCCTGAACTCTAATGAGAAGATCTTGCTGCTGCTGGGATGCTCCAGGATTTGTTATTTGTGTTTCTCATGGGTATACAGCTTCCTTTCAATAATTTATCCCAATTACCTTTATGTTCAAACTACATTTCAACTAATTGCATTTTTTCAAGCCTCTTCTAATTGTTCCAACTTGTGGTTTTCTGCCTGTCTTTGTGTTTTTTATTGCATAAAAATTGCCAATTTCAGGAACAGATTCTTCATTTACCTGAAAGTAAAAATTGACAAGATTGTGCCCTGGCTTTTGTTGGCATCAGTGCTTTCAGCCTTGGCCATTGGCATCATTGCCTATGACCTGGCTGATACAAACCTCGGTAGCAACTGTAATTCCACCAGGCAAGGAAATTTTTCAAAAGTGAGTAGCCAAATGGATGAAAATGTTTTCCAGATATATTTTATCTATGGCTTTGGATTTGTCACATCTTTCACAGCAGTCATGTGTTCTGCCCTTCTCCTTCTCTTTTCTCTCTGGAGACACAAATGCAAGATGCAGACAAACTCCATGAACAGTGTTAGCATGGATGCCCACATCAAAGCCATGAAATCTATTCTCTCCTTTTTTATTATATATAGCATTAACTTTATATTTCTGATACTGTCACTAATTCCTTCAACAAAGGAGGTAAATTATGTTGTATTTCTTAGTTTACTGTATCTGTATGCTTTTCCAGGTATTCATTCCCTTATTCTGATTTTCAGCAATCCTAAGCTGGAAAAGACACTGAGAAGGATCCTATTCTGTGTCAAGTGCAAGGTTTGCATGAGGTAGGAACTGTAATAGATGCTGGAGCCCACACAAAATCTTGATATTTCACTATAAGATAAAAGTCAGTTTAATGCAACTCCCTGGGCAGTGTAGATGGTACAAATGTTTTCACTTTACCAGTAAAGTTAAGAATAAATAATTCTAATCCTTTGAACCCAATTAGTATGTATTAGATTTTGATAGTATTTCATTCAGGTAATTTTATGAGTTCAATTCTTGCCAATAACAAATTCATTTAGACTTGGTACATGGGCTGGGTGCAAATGAGCAGTAACAGTACTGCAAGCCTCCCTCAAATACTTTGGCATTTGCTGATTGAAAAATGTCTGAACTCAGGTTTATTTGTGTTTGGGTTTACATTTCTTTCTGCTGTGTCCCTGCTTTTTGTAATATTATCACTTGTAACACTGGGTGGGGTGGCTGCACCTCGAAAAACTGCAGTCTGAGGAGCCTCCATATTGGACACATCTGATCCCAAAGGATCCTGCAGGCCACGGACGGAATCCACACTTGAACAGGGAAGAGAGCGTGAAGAGGAGGGAGTGAAAGAGACAATTTGTTATGAACTGATTGCAACCCTCATTGCCTGTCCTTCTGTCCTGCTGTGGAGAATGAGGTGGAGAAGCCAGGAATGAAGGAGTGAATTTTGTTCTGTGGAGAAGAAGGGGTGAAGGGAAGGGGTTCTAGTTTTGTTCTAGTCACTCTACTCCAGTATCAATAGCCAATAAATTAAATTAATTTTCCCACATTCGAGTCTGTTTTCTCCATGACAGTAACTGGTGAGAGATATCATTGTCTTTATCTCAACACATGAGCTGTTCCACCTTCTTTTCCACTCCTGCCCTGTTGTGCAATGAGAGTAAACGAGCAGTTCAGTGGGGACCCAGCATCTACCCAAGGCCAACCAACCACAGCAGGTTCTCTGAACATGAAATAATTGCAGCATGAACAGAAAAGAATGGTTTGTTCATTTCTGTCACCAGCTCGGGCACAGAGGGATGTCTGACCCCATGCCAAGGGGCCAAGGTGCCAAGGGTGTGTTTTCAATGCATCTCAAAACATTTGTTTGGCTTCCTGTTCTCCGAGAGGAGAGGAGAGGAGAGGAGAGGAGAGGAGAGGAGA